TGCCCGCTCTGTAAGTCCTACACTACTTGAAGATTTTCTTTAAAACTTGGCTCAAATTTCCTCAACCAGGGGATGTGCAGAACCCGTGTTGCCCATGCCAGTCAAGGTCAAAGGGTCAATTGAAGGTCAAATATCAAATATTAACAGTATGTTGTGTCCGCTCTGTGTCCTACACTAATTGAATGATTTTCTTCAACTTGCTCAAATATTCAACTCAACAAGGGGATTGCAGAACCCCATGTTCCCATGTGTAGCTAAAGGTCAAGGTCAAATTGTAAGGTCAATCATTTTCGTGTCCTCTCTAACTCCTATACCATTGAAGGATTTTCTTAAATTGGTCAAAATGTTTACCCAAAAGGGGATGTGCAGAACCCATTTGCCAATGTTCGCTCAAAGGTCAGGTACAATTGAAGGGTCAAATATCAAAAATATCAATATTACACAGTATGTAGTGTCCGCTCTGTAAGTCCTACACTTCTTGAAAAGATTTTCTTAAATCTTGGCTCAAATGGTTCACCCTCAACCAGGGGATGTGCAGAACCCATGTCGCCCATGTGTCAGCTCAAGGTCAAGTCACAATTGAAGGTCAAATATCAAAAATTAAATAATTTTTACAGTATGTCGTGTCCGCTCTGTAAGTCCTACACTTCTTGAAAGATTTTCTTCAAACTTGGCTCAAGTATTCACCTCAACAAGGGGATGTGCAGAACCCATGTTGCGCCATGTGTCAGCTCAAGGTCAAGGTCACAATTGAAGGTCCAAATATCAAAACACTATCAATATTACACAGTATGTCGTGTCCGCTCTGTAAGTCCTACACTACTTGAAAAGATTTTCTTCAAACTTGGCTCAAATTGTTCACCTCAACCAGGGGATGTGCAGAAACCCATGTTGCCCCATGTGCCAGCTCAAGTGTCAAGGTCACAATTGAAGGTCAAATATCAAATATTACAGCATTGTTTGTCCGCTCTGTAAGTCTACACTAATTGAAGAGATTTTCTTCAAACTTTGGCTCAATATTCAACTCAACAAGGGATGTGCGGAACCCATGTTGCCCATGTGTCAGCTCAAGGTCAATGGTCACAATTGAAGGTCAAATATCTAAACACTATCAAATATTACACAGTATGTCGTGTCCGCTTGTAAGTCCTACACTACTTGAAAGATTTTCTTCAAACTTGGCTCAAATGTTTAACTCAACAAGGGGATGTGCAGAACCCATGTGCCCATGTGCCAGGTCAAGGGCACAATTGAAGGTCAAATATCAAACAATCAAATATTACACAGGTATGTCGTGTCCACTCTGTAAGTCCTACACTAATTGAAAGATTTTCTTCAAACTTGACATAAATATTCACCTCAACCAGGGGGATATGCATGAACCTATGTTGCCCATATGTCAGCTCAAGGTCAAGGTCACAATTGAAGATCAAAATATCAAACAATCTAATATTCACAGTATGTCATGTCCGCTCAGTATGCCCTACACTATATTGAAGATTTTCTTCAATCTTGGCTCAAATGTTCATCTCAACCAGGGGATGTGCAGAACTTATGTCACTTTTGCTGGCTTATAGGTCAAGGTCACACTTGAAGGGTTTTTATTTCAAAAATTGAAAATATTCTTTAAATTTAACATTTATTTGAATATTTCTAAATCTAGAAAAGGTATTTGCTTTGAAAACTTAAAATATTTTTGAAGGGTCACAATTCCGATATGCTGTTCGTTCAAGTTTCATAACTCTGTATTGCATTTTTTAACAAAGTTATGCCCCTTTTTAAGTCTTCAAAATTTACATTACAATCGAATATTAGACAATATGTTGTTCCGCTCTATAAATCCTATACTAATGGAAGAATTTTCTTTCAAACTTTACTCATATTTTCACCTCAACAAGGTTTATGTGCAGAATCCTTGTCACCTTTTGTGCCGGCTAAAGGTCAGGTCACACTTGAAAGTCAAAATTGACTTTAGACAAAAATGTTCTTAAAATTTTAACATGTACTTGAATAATTCTGAAAACTAGCGCAAGGCTTTGCTTGAATTTTTAAAAGATATATGAAGGTGTGGCAAATAAGATTATGCAGGTAAAGTTTCATTACTCTGTATTGCATTTTGTCAAAGTTATGCCCCTTGTTTTAGTCTTCAAATTTACATACAACCAATACTAGACAGTATATTGGGTCTACTCTATAAATTCTTACTAATGGAAGGATTTTCTTCAAACTTTACTCAAATGTTCAAACCAAACTGGGTGATGTGCAAAACCCCATTTCCATTGTGCCAGTTAGGTGCAATGGGGCCCCCCCCCCACTTGAGGTCAAAAATTGATTTTAAAAATAAAGTTTTTAATACTTGGGAAAATGAAAGGTTTTTAATTTTTGTACTTTTTCAAACATATTTGTAATATATTTTTATATTTACCTGTTACAATTAAATCCTTTTTTTCACCAGAGATAATTTCTTTTTATGTATTTGTGCCACATAAGTTATTCCCTTTACCACCTTTCAAAGTGGTCTTCTGTCAAGGACATTGGTGGGGGTATGAATCGCATTCAGCGATAGTTCTAGTTTTTTTTGGATTTCTTCACGTGAGAACAGGATGCTATGAAGATGTAGTTACATTATGTATTTACTATCTGTTACATAAACTGTCTGAGTAAACTACTTAAGTTTGTTTCAAAACCGTCCCCATTAATTCTTGTTTTCAAACAGTTTAATTCTATTGACTAGCTATATACATATTTGGTGCGTGGTAAATGTAAGAAATCAACATGGTTTAGTATGCATATGTCACCGGGACCACTCATTCGGGGAAATAATTAACAACAATGGGTCGACAGATTTTCAATGGGTTTATATTGTCACATGGAAACATGGAAAGATACGCTCCTGTAACAAAGGACAATAAAATACAATTGTCAAAATAGGGGATTAGCAATACATATTCATAATATCAAAGCAATGCACGACAAACATTACATATTATAGTTTCAAATACACATGATACTTGTATCAACATTATATATTTCAAAATTAAAGCTTGAAGCATATGAATAAAACATTTTAGTATACAATAAAATTGTTCAAGATTGATAAAAAACAATAAAAAAATAAATTAAATATTTTATTAAAGGATGACAATCATTGTTATAATGTCTAAAACAGTAATGATTAATAATGTGAGAATGTTTAAAATTTTAATCATTTTTTTTAACAAATCTAAATAAAAATTCATCAGATGAAATTAACGGTTGCTGTTTTGAAATTACATTAAATTAATCAATGATAAATGAAATGAAAAGAAGAATTTTGAACAATAACTTAGGCTGACCAGCAGCTTATAGAGACATTAAGGACCAGTATTGAAGAAGACGAACGATTGAAGAAGAAACTTCCAGAATTAGTGAATGAATGTTGCGAACTTCTTGGAAAACTAGATATATTCTACATCAATAACATAATGAAGTTTGACTACGAACTGTCCGAGTTAGAATGGAAAGATAAAAAGGAGCTTGGTAGCGGAGCATATGCCGAAGTTTACAAATCCAAACTGAAGAAAAAAGACAGACCAGTTGCACTGAAGGTAATTGTTATCAATTTAGACAATAACGAAGTAAAGTTTTTGATGTTTCTGCAAATGTATAAAGCAAATTACAGCTGTATGATTGTTTTGTATGATAAAGTCATACCGACACTTGAAAGATCATATAACGACTTGACAGTATTACTGGTGGAGAAAGGCATCAGTTACCACTACGTGCATAATATCTAAAACTAGGCGGCACCTTTGTTAGATATCTGGAAAAACTGATCTCTCGGAAGCATTAAAAACAGCAAAATTACATGAAAATTGCAGACTCGGTTTGATATAGTATGTACAGACCTTCCCTTCGCTAACTGGATAGCCTCATCACAAGAAAATATCCAAAGTCATGACGGGATTGAAAAACGCCCAAAGGGCAAAATGCTTTTTAAAACGGGGGCCACATGGTTTGCAGCTCAACTCTGGTACCTTAACTGCCTTTGGGAAAATATTTTTTTCTTAATGATCTCCTTTGGTTTTAACAATAAGTATTGAAAAATAATATTGAATATCACCTTTATAATATATTTGGATATCACATTGATATTTGTGATAATGAAAAGGATAAGCTTCTTAGCCTATATATTGAATAAATTAAGAATTTCAATTGTGTTAACATATATTATTTTTAGGGAATGTAATGTAATATATTAGATTTAAACAATCATGATCTTGTATAACTTAGTTAATATGCGAAATTAACATCGGAGATATGTTTTGTTCCCTTGACCAGTATTGATTAAAGTGATCAGTTTTTTTTTTCAGGTGACCAGTGATGAAGTCAACGAATCAAATGTTACAGAAATTCTGAGTGAAGACAGGACATTGAGGTGCTCTTTTCTATGTACTTTCACGATTACCTTTCTTTGTTCATATCGCATGATATGAGTGACATAAATATATAAATGTTTTCAGAATATAACGAGGACATAATTCGGCATAATTTCCCAGATTTTTTATACTCACAACACTAGGCTTGGAAATCTATGTGGCAGTTGTTAAAAGTTTGCCAGTTACTTCAAGACAGTGTTGATCTTTTGTGATATTTCTGGGTGCTTGATTTTAATACGATTATTGTGGGAGAATGCATACTCCTTTCGCTGTAGACCTCTCCATTTGTAGAGTTTTATATAAAAACATGACTATTATTATATATCAAACATGTGCCTGAAACATTTAACACATTCCTATGCCAACTACATTTATTACAATACCTTTATCCAAAGGCAAACTAAGAAACTGGCGTATTATCAATGATATTAAAATTAAATGAACATTGACTTTTTGCCGACGGTCCTGTGTTGATGGGTTTCATCGGGGAATGCCACCCTTCCTTGTTGATCTTTGTTTACATAAATAAACACTATACAGGTTAAATGTTAACATTCAAATGACAGAATTTCTATCTGACAAAATATCTCCTGTATATAAACATCCATGTATATTTGTAATATCTACAAACATACATGTAATAGATATACCATTGCTGCGTTGACGATTTCTGGGTTTGCGTAAATTATACCATAATCACGTGACCTTTCTTATGCCTTAACCTCACGAGACGAAGTCGAGTGAGGTTGCATAAGAAAGGTCACGTGATTTTGGTATAATTTACGCAAACCCAGAAATCGTCAACGCACCAATGGTGTATCTGTTTTAACCTATAGCTCCGCCCAGAAACACTTACTCCTTCGATCTTCAAAACTGAAAATTATACCATAGTCTGGGTATGGTATTATTTACGGTTATTGGAAATTATACTTGGAAGAATTTTACATAAGAAGCGCTGAAAAGCTATAGGTTAATTCATAATAAACAATAGTGAACAAATACAATATCGGAACAAAGATTAGCATGGAAGTGTGGCATTCAATGAACGCTGCCCTGACTAACTCCAGTAAACCAAACCCACCGACACAAAACAGATCATCGGACCGAACAAGGAGGAAACAGGCATACATAATACTGTATTTGGAAAATATTTATTTCAGGGATCTTAGACATGATAATGTTGTCAGATATTACGGTGCCTCGTATGAGAAAACATCAAAAGGTCTACACTGGATAATGGTCCTAGAGTTATGTCGGACAACCCTCAAACAGATCTATACTGGTATTGTTTTTAGAATTTATTTTCTTTCCCCGTGTAATTAAGGTTGACAAATACATCTGTATTATTGTAATTATTAGGCTCAGAATACCTTTCTGTCTCAACATTAGGCTTAAGTTAGTAGATTTTGAAATGTTTCTGGAGGTAAGATAAATCGAATTATGTTTACTGGAAGGAGTCCTAAACTCTCAGCCAAACGAGTTTTCTCAAATCATTTGATATCATTACACATCACGTATTATAAAGCCTTATGTGACATCACATGGTGCTATTTCGGTCTATCATATCTATCAAATGAATATCACCATGGCAATATTCCCCAGGGGCGAGTAATCTATATATACCTCAGAAAACGTAATGATCCTGTTAACTCCCCTGATAAAAATCAATGATGTAAAAAAATAACACATCTCTCTCTGAATAACCCTCGGCTACCATCCAGTTTAACTGTACTAGATATATATCATTTAAGTTCAGATAAGAAAGCTGTTGCAGTAGTTTACGAAAGGTCGGTGGTTCGATTATGGTGCCAGCTCATGCCTGAAACAATGCACTTAGAGGTGCATGCGGCCTCTCGCCATCAGTAAAGCTGGAAAGTCGCCATGTGACAGTCACAGTGTCATTGTGACTTTAAATCTCATATTTAGCATTACCATATCTCTTTTTCTATAAGGGAGTGAAAGAAATGAACGGAAGATACCTGGTTGTCTTGGGAACGATCATCCTCGTTATGCTGATGCAGCGAAGTTTGTGCTCGACCATGCCCACCAAATATGTCTTGGCCTAGAATACATTCATGAAAAAGGATACACACATAGGGACATGAAACTAGAAAATGTGCTGGTAAATATCTGTGCTTTTTATTTTACCTTTTGAGATATGAGTTTTGTGTTGATGGACATCAAGTGATTGGTTATTAATTATATAATGGGGTATGGCTTCTGTGAATTATTATTTCTACATAAGTATTTTTTAAATATCTTTTATATCGTTAAGGCATATCGATAACTGATATATGTATTAAAATGTCGCGGTTAAAATTGAATTAAAAATTGTATTTTGTGCTGTTCTAAAAAATCATAGCAACCCTTTTCAGTTTTTGGTCGTTTTATTCACAACGAGAATAACTATTCTGGAAAAACGGAGTGAGCAAATGAATTAAAATTTTGCACACAAGTGTGTAGTCTAGATATGCACAAATGGAACATAAATTTCGAAAAGTTATTTCCAGACCTGTCATTACTGTCATAAAACCTCAGTGAAGTCCCATATAGACATGACAATTTTCAGTCTATAAACATGTGTAATAAATTAATTGCAGGTAACAGACGATAATGTCATCAAGATTACAGATGTTGGCGTGACCAAAGTTACAAAAATGCTTTCGCAGACTGAAAGGGGGTCTCCAGCGTATATGGCACCGGAAGTCCTCCTCTCAGATAGGGCCCAAACAAACAAGCTGGACATCTACAGTTTCTCAATCATGTTCTGGGAAATGTGGTTTGGAAAAGACATAGCAGACGAGATAGCGACTAAATGTTTCGCCTACGGTATCAACGGCAATGCAATGGACGAGCTAAAATATCATATTGCCAAACCTGACGGCTGGAGGCCCTCACTCAGTTCACCTAAATGTCCACCAGATTTGATACTAGATGTTTTGAAAAGGGGATGGTCCTTTAATCCCGAGATGAGACCAAGTGCGAAAGACTTTGGAAACACAATTAATCATGTACTTAAAAACGTTCTATAGACAAAATGTTTAATTACCATAGTGATCAGTGGGTGAGAGTTTAGTATGAATATTTTATCACAAAAGTAACAAAATTGTATTGCCTGTTGTATTATTATTCAGTAATTCGAAAATATCTTTATAACTGTTAAAACATAACACTATTTCTAGTGTTTAGAATTATTCAGAATTATTTCTTATAAACAATATTGTAAATGATATTAGCTTTAACATAACGATAGACAATCTATGTTTAAACAATTAAACAATTTATTTACTTGGTGTCGTATAAAACATTATCAGTTACTATACACAAAGTTATGATAGACTTAGTGTATTTAGTAACAAGTAGAAATCGCTGAAAAATAACCACGAGTAGGAAGGGAATAAAACAGATATGTTTGACTGTTTGAAATTCAAAAGGCACGAGATGTAGTTAAAAATGTGTAAAAAGAAGAAGAAGAAGAAGAAGAAGAAGAAGAAGAAAGAAAGAAAGAAAGAAAGAAAGAAAGAAAGAAAGAAAGAAAGAAAGAAAGGAAAGAAAGAAAGAAAATGATTGTAATGATGAAAAATGTCCAAATCAGACTCTGAAATTTAGAATACAAACACTCGTTGTTAATCATTATATATGTAGTGCCCGGAAAAGGAAATATTCTGTATATCTACAGAAGTATTGGTAATATTGCCGCCAGCAGAGACCAATGAAAATTTACGTAAAAAACTTTCAGTGTTATAACACGTTAAAGACATTTGTAATTATCCTGTATTTGATAATTCATTTTGGCAAAACCACCTTTACATATAATAATCTCATTGGTCCTATGCATACATAAAAAGTCGACTTAAGTACATTTAAGTGTCATTCAGTGAATTAATTCAAAATTTATAGGTCACCTTTTGGCAAATTATATCCTTAATGGGCACGGATAGTGGCAATGATGACCGGTGTCCGTATGCTATAGCTAAATGCCTCAAAGGGCGTGTTGACCCTTATTAATTTAACCTATAATACATCTATAGATCACGCTTTTTAATAAATAAGAAACAAAGGCATGTTTTTTATCCATGTATAGCAATCTATTTTATATATCATTGATTTCGATCTTGTACATGATAATTTCAGTGCAATTTGATTGGCTGAATAAAAATTATTCATACATTCATTTGAAATACTCAGATATCAAAAATACAAGCAAAAGTCTAACCGTGTAGTCCTTTTATTATTGCATGGAAAACTGTTTGCATAGTTTTTTTTAGTATTGTGTTCGTCGGACATTTCTTTACAATAAATTATATACGGTTCTAAACATTGGTTTGATAGACGTTATCTTTTAAGCCTGCTTTGTTCGCTACTAATGCTTTAAACATGGTGCCAAAGATACTTTCAAAGAGAAGATGAACAATAAATAGCAATTAACCTGTACTGTATAGATTAAGAAATAAAGCAAAAATGACCTCGAAATCACGCTGACCAACTTTAATCTATGGAAATGAACTCTTGCATGTTATGAAATATCAAAACGGGGTTGAATGATACAAAAACTAATTTTTGTAAAATAATTAAAAAAATACTTTCCAGATTTTCAGGATTTGTCTAAATTTCATTTAAAGGCAAATTTTGATTTATCTACCACAATGTAAGTCTCTGTTGTTTATTTTTCGTTTATTTTTCGAAGTCAAGCCGAAATGAAGGTTTGTTACGAATATCTCTTTTGTTTTCCAACTAACTTAGAAAAAAAAAGATTGATAAAAATAGACCATATTTTTTTTGGTAACAAAATATTTTATCTTACGAAGCCCATGTATAACGTTATCAAATTTATTTGATTATTTTTTCGGATTCAAAGACAAGGGTATCGTGGTGGCTGCGTTCAGCGAACATTGCTCTTTCCTTTGTTAAAGTAACATTATGCTCATTATTTCGCTGTCAAGTTGAGTTGAATTTCGGTATTACAATTCAAAAGATTGAATATTATAACGATGAGTGATCAATAATTGATAATGAAAAAACGACCTTAATTATAAAAAGACTGCCCCACTCTTTAATGTTACCGATACAATCTGGACAATATTAATACAAATTTCTGTTGCTCACGTCGTTTATTAACTCATTTTTTCATATGAAAATATTAAATTGTGTTATTATATGTTATTTTAGCAAAACTTCAAGTTATTATGTTCGTGAAGTTGGCTGCCTTACAGTCTGAAGTTGACAGCCTAGCAGCCTAAAAACTAAGAATAGTACAAACATTAAAACCGTCGGAAATGCATTCGTAGCACTTCCTTATATCAAACCACGCGTTTTTTTTTAAACAAAACATTGTGATCTTTATTTTCAAGATGTTTAACTTTATTTTTTTTTGTATTCAGACGTTTTGAAGTAGAGCACAAACATGAAAACCGTTGGAAATGAATCGGTACCACTTACTTGTAAACGGTGCGTCAGTAACAATCAAAGCACAGAAGGCACTGAATTTGTTTGTGTCTCAGAATGTCAGAAAGGTGAAGGTTGTGAGATTATAAAACAAGTTGTTTTTGTATAGTGCCGCAAATGCTTTCCAGGGTTTTAATTGTAGTAGATTGCCTATAAGACAAATTGCAACACTGATATAAGATCCAATGTTTATTTGACTTAAACAATTTGAAAGAAAAAATGAGTTGCCTTTACTGGGATTTGAACTCCAGACCCCTCGCTTCCTAAGCGAGCGCAAACCCCTCAGCCATGGTGGATTGACATGTTAATGGCCTGAAGAAAACTGTATTATTCTAGTTCGGGTTTGTAACGACGCTAACTGTTGTTTAACACTTGTGTAAATAATCATGGCGCTTACTATAAGCATGTATATCTATAAAGAATAAAACAATATTAGAAATCTTCGACCATCGGGAATTATTTTGCTTGAAAATTAATCCGCCTGTCATGTGACCATATTTACGCAGTGATCTCCCCTAAATTTTTCGGCCTAAGTGTTACATATAAAGAGAAGTAACCGCTTCAAAAAAGCTGACTACTTTCGGCACTTACAATTAACAGCATTAGGGTCTGAAAATTCGCTACCATTATTTGTTTGGTCTGACGACCCAAACAAATAACGGCACTTGCAATTAACAGCATTAGAGTCTGAAAATTCGCTACCATTATTTGCTTGGTCTGACGACCCAAACCAATAAAAATGATTATTTTCACTGTACAATAAAGACACTGTACAATAGAGAGTAATTTGAAGCATAGTTTGGGAACCTTTCTGTTGAAAATGTGTCCGAGTTAAATCGTATACATATACATGCTCCGTGCGTTAACTGAAGTGCAGGTATTAGTTACCCGCACTCCAAATTAAGTTGGCTCATTTTTGCTGGGTTTTACTTATTGTGACGGAAGAGAAAGGGAAAGCGACAGAAATGTCATATTTAGATGCTCGTTCATTTGTTACTTTTCTCCGGGGTTTCATACTGTGACAACAAGGAATGTGTTTTTATGTTTGACTATGATACAAAAGAGAAAGAACATCAAAAAACTCGGCAATCTGTGATTAATACTCGGGGCTACGCCCCTCGTATAAATCAGATAGCCTCGTGTCTATTACTTTTTAGGTATGTGATAAACAGAATATTATATTCGAGGAGATTCACATCTTAAGCCTCGGTCTCACTTACTCCCGGCAGAGCCCAGGACCATCCCGGTAAGTTACCGGGATGATCCGGGACGATCCGGGATGAAATTATTGTTGCGGTCACACTTACCCCGGCAGCACTACGGTAGTTCCCTACTAACCACCCAGGATGCGCTCCGGATCGTCCAGGCAGAGCCCAGGTGAAGCTACGGTTCATGCCGGTGCTTCCCCGGTCGTTCCCGGATGACGCCGGAAGAGCCACGGTTGACCCAGGCAGAGCCCTGGTCGATCCAGGCAGAGTCCCGGCAGAGCCCAGGACGATACAGGCAGAGCCCCGGTAGAACCCCGGTGGATTGAAAACGCCCGAAAATGATAACATTGATACATAATTTTTATTTAATATAAAATCTGTTAGTAATTCGTGATGATTTTCTGAAAAATCCTTATGCCATACTGGATAGAAGGGAAATGGGAAGGGTTTTAATACAAACAAGTAAAATCATCGCAAATTGTCGGGATTCTTTTGAAATGATCCGGGCTTTGCCGGGGCTCTACCGGGATCAACCGTAGCTCTACCTTTATCCTCCGGGGCTCTGCCTGTATTTACCGGGGCTCTGCCGGCATATACCGGGGCTCTACCGTAGCTCTACCGTAGCTCTACCGGCTATATCATACCCCGGATCATCCCCGGTTTGTGCCGGCAGAGCTACGGTGCTTTCCCGGTATAACCCCGGTCGTTCCCGGCAGAGCTAAGGATGAAGCCGGCAAAGCTATACCTTCCCGGATCATCCCGGACCACCCCGGTGATATTAAATATTTTATTCCATCCGGGGTCGAATGCCGGATGTTCCCGGATCATCCCGGATCATCCAGGACGTTGCCGGCAGAGTTACGGATGTACCCCGGATGTTCCCGGTCGTACCCCGGTCGTTCCCGGATCACCCCGGACGTCTACCGGGGCTCTGCCGGGATGTAAGTGAGACTGTAGCTTTATTTTTATTTAAATTCATGAGTCTTATACCATCAAAGTATATTATATACAACTCGTTCAATAAAATTAGTAGTGAATCTATTTACACTCATTTATTATCCTGTGGCATGCGAGTATATAGTTCCCGTTCAAAACCAGTCCTTGTATTTGTCACACTAAATTTATACTTGCATTCTTTAAAAACGGATATCAAATTACGCAGATGTAATTTAAGTGTTAATATTAGTTTTGCAGCAGGTACAAAAAGTTTTCATTTGAAAACATTTTCACCTGTGTATTGTCGAAACATGTACGTCCTTGAGCGCACGCGCAAAAATTCTGCCATATATCGTCCTGTCAGTATTATCTATTGTACAGATAAGTTTGCAATACGATAAAAAAACTTACTTAAATACGAAAATTTGTCCTTCGATATCACCATAGTAATTAAATGTATGACTTTAATGAGCAAATGCATAATTAGCGCAGTTCAATACGTTTGGAAATCCAAGCTGTAAATTTCTTGAATTTACTTTTTTCTTGTCTATTTTTGATACTTGTAGTAAAAAGGCCTCTTCTACGATTATAATGAAAAATATGACCGATGCTACAAGACTTTATAATTATTATGGGTTATATTTTATGTACGGGAACTAATTCTCTTCATATAAAATACTGGGTTATTTCCGCCTCGTAACTAAAAGATGCTCTACATTACAAGACCATTATGTGTGTGACGAGCCGACAATAAATTATTTGGTGAATGAGCTTTTTAAAATATATTTTTTAAGCGGGAACTGCACGCATATTTGTGCGTGTGCGACAATAACGGATTGTTAATAATTAGTACTTGTGCTGATACAATGTATCACTGAATCACTACGTGTACACCATAGTTACACGCTCTTATCTATTGTTCTAAAAATAGAACAGATTGAATTCGCTGCAGTACAAAACATTGACACTCGTTTGAACTGTAACGATAAATCGGTTTATTGTTTGATGATATCTACGGATAAATACAGTAGTGGACATTACACATCAACATCTCACGAAGGTAAGTTACTTTTCGTTCTTTAGTTTACTGATATAACGAAAGTAGAAATGCTACTCAATTAAATCACTCGTTAATTTGTCAGAAGTTATGTCTTATGAACAATCTTTCATTTTCCATCGTTTAATGATGTCAGATCAGACTTTGTATTACATTTGAAATCGCGTGACATTATCTGTTTTATGAGTGCTTTTAGATAAATGGTTAAACAAAGCCCTGCTATGTTATAAATCGATTTATGCTTCAGCACGTTGCTTGCATGTATACATGTTACGTTTGTATGGTGTTTTGTAAGCGCCACCGTAAGTTACAGTGGGCAAAAATGCAAACATTAGATAGACACATTCAACTATAAAGTTATATTGTTTCCTTTTTTGCATATATATCATTTGGATTTATTGTAAGTTTTCTTGCG